ATTAGTTTAAATTTATGTTATAAATATTGTAATTTTCTTATGACAATGTAACAATTCTCAACATTAATGCAATTTCCTTATTCAATTACAAGTTTGCGTTGCAATTATATTTGAGTTGTATTATTATATTTTATTGCAAAAATATGTCATTGCTTATGTCAATAACAACTTGGGTTTAGGTTGTGGGAAATTAGCCACAAATTCAAAAAATACTAGAAAATTGGGATAAATTATGCAAAATTAGCCAAAAATTCTAGAAAATTGTGGAAATTCTAGACAATCTAAAATAATTTCTAAAAAATACTAGAAATATCTAGAAATTACCCAAAAATGCTTAGATTCATTACAAAATCTAGAATATTAGCCAAAAATTCCAAAAAAAAAAAAAAGATAAACTCAAAACAAAGCAAAGTTAATTCCAGAAAATAGCAAAAATTTCTAGAAATTACCCAAAAACTAATAATGGTTCATTAAAAATGCTGGAAAATTAGCCAAAAATTCCAAAAAAAATAGCATAAATTCAAGACAAAGCAAAATTAATTCCAAAAAAAGCAGAAATATCCAAAATTCCCTAAAAATTGATAATGGTTCATGGAAAATAAATGCAAAATACATGTTAATGATAATAATGCAAAATAAATTCATGGAAATTAGCCATACATGCCATAAGTCCATGTCCATACATACACAAAAATATATAGTTAACTATGTAATCCATACATTCCTATACAGTTAAATCAAATCCTCCTATAGGTAAAGAAAACAACATGTCCATTTTTTCGGCATTCTTTATAAGATGTTGTGTGACAATCAAAGCCTCCTTTCTTGATAGATTGGGAAGATCACATAATGTTGCATGTACCTCCTTTCTTGCATTGGACACATCCTACTTGTGGCATATGCGGTTGGCAATCCTATCAAGTTGCGCATCTACTCGGTCACAAAACTGATGTATTGCCTCTATAAACTTCAAGGCCACTTCATCATTCCTCTACTTCCTTCCCCTCCCTTTGCTTGATGCACTACCACCTACATCACTTGTGCGCATATCATTCGTAGGTGTCTCAACTGGAGCACTTGGCATCACCTTTAATACACTCGCTATTTGCATTTGTTCTTCGTTATGGACTTCATTACTAAGATTGAAGAAATCCCAAGCATACTCTCTTGCAACTTTGTCCTTACCAAAAATCTCACACCAGTCAATGTATAATGATATTAGACAATGTCTAAACCTCTTCAAATTCTTGATAGGCTACAATCAATGAACCGAAAGCAATAATGTAAAAAGATCAACAAATGAAGTAATGCATGAAAACAGTATAGGTGCATAATCTATGTTATGATATGACATTATCTTTTCATACGCATCCTAAACCTTGTCAGTAACCTCAAGCATCTTTGTGTTGGGATTCCATAAGGATCCACTCTTACCAATAATGGAAAATAGGCCTACATGTTGGCACTTCCAAACACATATCTTTGACTCAATGTGTGATTGCCCTTTTATATCTGTACTGGGGAATGTGTTGAATATATGAAACTTAAGGTGAGAGACTAAACCTGGCTTAAACCCGGACTCACTCTTCCAGCCTGAAGTAACCATTTCTCTCAGCTTTTGTATGAAGGTCATCTCTTTGCTTCCAATCAAATACGTCTAACCAGTCGAGGTCTCCTAGATGATGTAGCATCAAATGAGTGTAACGATAATCAATTCATCTACAATAATAATTATAATCCAATTAAAACATGTCTAAAAATATTAATATACACCTACTGCTTATACATGCTAATCCAATGTAAAATTAAAATTAGCCATGTACAATAATAATAAAAATCTGATTAAAAAGTCATACACACATGCCACACCATGAATGCACATAACAATGTCAATCGCAATTAACATTCACAATAATAATAACAATCCAAATAAACATAATCTCAAAATACATATGTTTTAAAAACATATGTTCACTCTCCCCTCCACTCATTATATATTGTCATTGTCAAGTTATCCTTACAAATAAACCACTAGTGAGATGCCTCTACATGGGTGATGTAATCTTAATGAGTAGAATTAGCCTCGTGAAAATCATTTGAGACTTTATTTTCCAAGGGATTGATGTCCATTTTCATTCAAACAAAATTATGTAATAATATACATGCCATGATGATACGATTTTGAGTTTGTGTAGGTTAAAAGGATTTGCTCCAAGGATGACCCAACACATCTTCAAAATTTCAAAAGCCCTTTTAATGACATTCTTTGCTTTAACATGTTTCATATTGAAGTACTCTTAATGATTTTCTCTTGATAATTTTGAGGGCCATCCTCCATGCCTCCCACTTCTTTAAGTGATATTGCACCCCTTCATAAGTAGCCAAAAATCCTTTTCCATTTGTGTAGCTACAATCAACTAGATAGTAGTTCCCTACCATAAAAAAAATATGACCATAAATTAATGTTTGTACACTTTACAGTGCATAGTTGAAGAATAAAGAATAACTACTCTACTAATACACCCGTTGGTACCCTAAATTCATTAGAGATTACAGTTGTATCTCGCAATACCTTACTATCAGCTACAAAACCCTCCCATTCGATCAAAACATAAATGAATTTGAGTTTGTATCACAGACACCAAGAACATTTACAACGAATACTGCCTAACATTTAACTTGTATGTATATCCTATCCAATGAGCCCAAGCATCCCTGAGGTGAGCAATTCACATTGTCACCGCATACTAATCATGTTATGGTTATAAGAAATGGGATTATTATATTTATTAAGAATATAAAAAATTACCTTAAATGACCTCTATCTTTCATTGGTACATGCATCACCAATTAACCCTAGACATACTAGTAGTACGCAATATCCTATAACTTCAATACCGCTATCATAACCTAGTTAAAGTATTTACTAACAATATCTCCAGGCTACTTAAAGTTAAATTTGACAATTTGATTCTTCATATGATGAACTAAAATGGATAAGAGCCATCCACTTGGGAACACTTATATACCTACTCCCCATCAATCCACATTATGTCTCCAAAACTCACATAATTTACCAAACGCATTTAGGCACATTCTAAGATTCTCCAATCACATTATTTCACTATCCTCGACCAAACTTGACAAGTGATTAATTAATGTGGGTATTTTGATGGTAATATATCCCACAGAATTTCTCCTATGTTGGTAACAAGATTGTACATATATAACATATATTTGGTACAGACAAACCAAGCAAAAAATGTGCTCTATTACAACCTTCTCATACAAAATTAGACATTCGATGTTCCACCTTCTAATGTCCATTGCCTGATCAATGTGGCATGAACAAGTGTATAAATAAAATTGATAACAAAAAGTGAACATACTTTAAAATGAAAATTCTCCATATGCATATATAATCTCACAAAATAAATCAATCATAATTACATTTATTAACCTAAGTTGTTTTTCCTAAATTTGTAAATTTTTAACGAAGAATAGCATAACGTAACAAAATCCACTCTCATTATGCCATTGGATTGGAAATGCACTAACCTTGCTTGAATAGACCTCTAGTTATACTTTATAGAAAATTAACTTTAGCTAGTAAATCAATACTTTGACAAACACAATCAAGAAAATCAAAATACAAGCTAACCACATTATGCTAGTAGTAGCCAAGAATGTGTGAAATTTATAGTGTCAGATGATACGAAATCTTACATACTCTAACCAAAATCTAACATACAAAATGGATGGATCAAATGATATGAAATGATACACAAATAAGGATTCTGACCCATTTTGTAGGATTATGTTTCTAGAAAGTTGATATTGAACCCTGAACAAAATTGCAGAGACAAGTATGAGTTACATTTAAGAACACTTATGAGTGGACAACTGAGATTAAACCCTAAACAACATCACATATACAAATACAAGTTACATTCGAGAACACTCACAGTGTCTCTGCAGCTATGAGTGGACTGTTGAGTGTAAAAGGCAATTGGCATGAGAATGGCAGGAGGTGTGGCAAGAAGGGAGAAAAACAACAAATCAAGAGAAAGGGAGGCGTGAGAGCTTGCGGCACGCATGTGGCTAAGCTGTGGCAGTCCTTTAGCTAGAGTTTTAGTCCAAGGAGGAGTGAGAGTGTAGAAAGGAAGAATGATACTAGTCCTTCGATTTGATATGGGTTCGAGGTAGAGTTGGTCATTTTCTAGGTCTATAGTGAGGGTGATTTTGTTCCCAAAGAATTTTACTTATACTCTGATACATATTGGATAAAACAATCCACCCCTCTTGCATGATAAATAATCTCTCTGCCATGATATATATCTTTATCCCTCTCAGTGTCAGGCTCCTTATCATGTTATTGAACAAATGATAAAGTAAAATAAATTTATTTTATTCTACTTTATCTTATCTTACAAATCAAAAGCGCTCCTCGTTGGGGTTGAGGAAGACATAGTGGAGATAATCTTTAGCTTGCAATCTTTCATGGAAGATACCGTGAGGGAGGAAAATAATGTGCGGGTTTATTTAAAAGTTTACTTAATTTGGAGAGAGTATGGGGTGAGTTCCATGATAGAACTCCCTTATCCACGTGGCCAATAACTGGAACGTGGACAGGATAAGAAACCACAAAAAAGTTTGGGCACCGGTGTCTACTCCATATTGAAGAAAGAAATTAGGCTCTGCGCCAGAGTTTATGGTGTATCTTAAGGGCTCTGAAAATGAAAATTGACATTAAAACTGCAGTGCTTTGAAAGACATGATCTTTGAAAGGGTCCTACGTCAGGATCGCTATTTAACAGGGATTAGAAAGTTATGGAAAAGGATATAAAATAAATAATACTTAAATGACATCTGCCTGGTTTTCAAGATCCCGAAGGTTATCAATGAAGCATTTTGAATATCGACTCGGAGTGTCTCAAATCTATGTTGCAAAAGCCAACAGAAGGGGCCCCGAAATAATAAATTAAAAATAAAAAACGTTACTTGAAGAACAAAGGCATCTTCAGTGGGATGGGAATAGCACGGAGAGGCTGAGCCTTCTGCAACGTGATACCAAATTTCTCCTCCATATCCAAATCCGCCGGTGCAATTCCTCCTTCCAACTTCCAGTCAAATGAGTTCAAGAGCGATCCCACCATCGCCGGAACAATCAGCATCGCTAGTGGCAACCCGGGACAGATTCTCCGACCCGACCCAAAAGGAATCAGTTCAAAGTCCCGTCCTCGCACGTCAATCTCCGACTCCAAGAATCTCTCCGGCATGAAATGGGTAGGCTCGGGCCAAAAGTTCGGGTCGCGCCCGATTGCCCAAGCATTCACTAGTACTTGTGCACCCTGGGGGACAATGAAGCCACCGAGCTCGACGTCTGTCTCCACCTTCCGAGGAATCAAGAATGGGGCTGGTGGGTGGATTCTCATTGTCTCTTTGACAACTGCTTGCAAGTAACGTAATCGTGCGATATCAGATTCTTCAATTGGCTTCCCTATATCGACAATTTCCTGGAGCTCGGCCCTGGCCTTTTCTAGAACCTTTGGACTGCGGAGGAGTACCTCTGCCATTGCCCACTCCACTGTGCTCGATGTTGTATCGGTCCCCGCTATAAATAGGTCCTGTCCCGGAAATTGGCGCATAAATTAGCCTCCCCTGTACAGTTTTGATTTCATTTCTTCACGTTCATCCGTTTATGTTACAATCTTTTGTACTAATATATTAGTTCTTCACATGTGTCTGAAAATATCTGACGTTCGCATTTTCGAGAGAGAGATACATACCAAGAACAGCCGCTCGATGTGGGTTCGGTCAATTTCTTCATTACTCTCTTCGCCGAGATTAATTAGGACATCTAACACATCATTCTCCGCTTTACTTTTGCTTGATTTTCTCAACTCCAAACGCTCATCGATTAATCTACCAATGAGCCGAAGTACCTGATAGAAATAAATTATCAATTTTAAATATTTATTTCCCTAAATCCACCTAAAACTTTCACCCCGGAAAATATTAGTAAATAAATCTAGAAGAAACTCGTTACTCTACTCTTACCTTTCCGTAGTGTTCCGTCATCCGGCCCCTTATCTGCTGTGGGTCAAACCTCGCAAGAACCGGAAAATAATCGACCAGATTAGGCCGTCCCGCCTCCACCATGATCTGCCAAACTAAATCCCTGAACTCCCTCGCCAAATCCTCACTCTGGTCCGCCAAATCCACAGAAAACAAAGTATTCGACAACAAATTAAGCGATGTCGTAAAGGCCGCACATCCCACATCCACCGCCACGCCCTCTCTGCAGCACTTTCCTGTGAACTCCACAAGCTCCGCCACCTTTTGCCGCCGCAGACTTTGGACTGCGTCGAGTCTACTCATCGAGAATATATGAGAGTTCAAGATTTTCCTGAGGCTCCGCCACCGGCTCCCCACGGGGAGCCAAGTGACGGAGTATTTATACTGGTCATGGGCGCGGACGGCGTTGGGAACGGATCTGGAAGAAAAGGCGAGATCCTGCTTTTGAAGGGCTTCTTTGATGGCGTTTCTCGAGGAGATGACCACGGTGGTGGCACGGCCTAGTTGGAGCTTCATGATTGGACCGTATATTTGTGCCAGTTTGGCCAGGGAGCGGTGGGGTTGTCACCCAGCTTGAGGAGATCGCCGACAATAGGCACCGGCATGGGTCCCGGCGGGAGATTCCTGCGGGGTTTGGTCTTGGTTCTGGTTCGGATTGATCGGAGGAGTTGAAGCAGTGCCAACGGTATGAAGAGATAAAGAATTACTGAGCTCAATAGCTCCATGGTTCTTCGCCCTGGTCGATGGAGCTGGGGATTCCGTCTGATTTATCGTTGTCACTAGTTCAACAAAGCTTTTAATTTCTTCATAAAAATATTGGAATTTTGAAGGATGAGTGAGGTTTGGACACGTGGGTCACAAATTGATAAAGGCCGTACGGCCCGCCTGGTTGAAAGGTCGTCGCAATTAAAAGAAGAAAAAAGGTTTAACTATCATTTCGGTCCCTCAAAGATCAGCCGGCCACCATTTTGGTCCCTCAACGTGTGAAACCATCAAAATGGTACAAAGATTAGCCATCCATTTATCAAAATACTCCTACCATATACATCTCACATTTACAACAAAAAGCAAGCCACATGACAGGGGTGGCTTAATAATTTCAGGAGGTCTAAAGTTAATTTAAAATTGAAATATTTTATCTTTCTAATATAATTTAAATTTTTAAAAATTTATTTTCTATTTTTTAAGATACAAAATTAGTAATTAAATTTTTACATTCAATTTTATTCAATATTAGAAACTTGTGAAAGTGATCAAATTAAAATATAATTACTTGATTTTATAGATAAATTTAAAATATTCAATGAAACAAGTAATAAGGAATGTTAGAAGATGATTGTTAAAATGATTTAATGAAATCAACAGCACGTTACACGAGAGCTGAAAGAGATAATTATGGAGAAGAAAAAGGAGTTTTGGCGTGAATGAATGTTAAATTAAAAAATAATTGTTTTGATAATATAAAATTTTAATTATGAGAAAAATTAAAAGTTATAAAGGAAATGACTAGGTAGTAGTTAACTAATTAATTTGAAAAATATTGATTGTTATTATTATAGCTTTTGAAAAAATTTTATAATTATTTAAATTTTATTAAATAACAAAATATTAAAAAGCCCTAAAATTTGGAGGACCTAAAGCAGTTGCTTTACCTGCCTTATGGTAAAGCAGGTCCTGCTAAAAGTTGACACAAACATTATGCCAATGTGGATGCTGAGTTGAACATGAAGTAAACTTACATGAATTGTTAAGCAAATGTAAATTTTTAACATGTATGGTAAAGGTAATAAAAATCTCACCACTACATTTGGTTATTTGGTAAAATGACATCATTTAGGTGCCTTTCTTTTCTGGGAAAAGAAAGGAGGACAAGAAGTGATCCTATGGTAGAATCCAAATCTGGTTTCAATCCAAGTAGACTTGGTGAAATTGATTGAAGCAAACGTAGTGGTGGACCAGCTTTATTCATTCTCTAAGGCTCCGGTTCAATTATTTGTTTCTTGACTTAATGATGATAAGAAGATTAGATGCAGGTATATGTGTGGACATGGTTGTTCTTGGGAGATAATTATTCCAAAGCTGAGTAAGATTAGATGCAGGTATATGTGTGGACATGGTTGTCCTTGGGGAGATAATTGTTCCAAATTTGAGATTATGGTTGATAAGAATAATGTTGACCTTCCTAACATCATGGAGTAAACAAACAAATAGTAAAGCTGGTTCACCACTTTGTCTACTTAGAGGTAATAACTTGTTTAGTTACAAGCATGGCTTTGTATGGTTACAAGGAGAGGCTCGTATATTACAGGCACATCTAAGTTCAGTTACATGCATATATCTTCAATTATAAAACTAAATGTAATCCCAAGTCACACAAGCATCCATTGGTTTAGTTACAAGCAGATCTCAGTTCAGTTCCAAATATAAATCGTTTAGTTACATGCAGATATGTCCCTCTGTTCAACCAAACTTAGGACCAACTTTTAGAGATAATAACTTGTTTAGTTACAAGTATAGCTTTGTATGGTTACAAGGAGAGATCCGTTTAGTTACAAGCACATCTAAGTTCAATTATGTGCATATATCTTCATTGATAAAATGAAATTTAATCCTAGTCACACAAGCAACTATTGTTTCAGATATAAGAAAGATTCTATTCAGTTACAAGCAGATCTCAGTTCAGCCTTATATATAGGTATTAGAAGCTATTAGAAGCTTACTTGCCTAAACAAAATATATAAGCCATATTTTAATTGAAGAAATAAGCCACCTTGAAATTTAAGAATCACATGATATAATAGGCTCAGTGGGAAATCAAATGTTTTAAGCATTTTGTCAAGAATAGTAGTAGCATAAAGAACATATATCTCCTGAAAATTATGGTAGTGAATTTAGCATTAGAAACTTACTTGAACCCTCTTCGACTTGCTGTCGACATAATCACCCTCTCCTTGTTTTCTCCAGTGAGTACGGTCATGGACTTCAACTTGGCATACCCTCGTCCCACCTTGTTCCCAGTGTATTAATTCAGTAAGTGAATAATTGATATAAATAAATATAACTAAACTGTGACTATGATAAGAAATTCACCATTTTACATTTGTGCTCGGCAAATAAAATGAAACTGCCGGTATGCTTTACAATTGATCCATCTTTCTCGGTTAATCTGTTCTCTCTAGCTTTTGTACACTTATTCTGATAGTTTGGTGCATTCATCTAGCCATTACAAATTGCCTCCTAGTCAGTGACGAGCATGTATTTGGGCACTACTCTCATTAGATCCCTTGAGTCATCACTTCCAACTTGTTGGATTGTTGCTTTCTTTATTCTATGAATTGTATTTTTGTAATTTCTCTTATGGGTTTGCTCCCATGAGTGTAGTATACTGGCATCATGTTATGGCAACCACGTGTACATCTCCTATCAGAATTAGAATAGTTTTGTGAAATTACAAATATATAAATTAGAGATTCTTGTTATTAGAACAAATATTTGTTTGGATATATAGTATCATTTAAATTTATTAAATAGGTTGTTATTCCTATCTTGAGGGACTTGCTCCCATGTTGCATCTGGCCCTAGATACCTCATAAGAATGGACATTATTTGGCAAGTGACTCCCTTGGGAATGAAGCTGTCAAATGTAAAATGAATGAAGTTTAATTATGGCAATATGTAGATAAGTTAAGACTAAATAATAAAATTAGACTAAGTTAGAAGTAAAGTTTACCCATCATGAAATGGTTGGATATGTTGGTAGCCATCAATATGGGTAGGTTCAGAACTCGCAGATTCGGGCTGACTCATATGTGCTGTGTCAAAAGGAGAAGGGTGGCTAGCATGTTCAACGCTAGATAGAGAGGGCTGGCCCCCAGCTGTAGTGCTAGACGATGTATCTACCATCCGCCTACCGGCCTCTTATTCATCTCGAATATGGAAGTCATCAGCTGCTTGGTCAAACGTCTAAGCACCTGGTTGTAGTGTGCCTATTGCCAAGTTCATGCCCACCTCTACCACGCCTACCAAGTCTCTGGCCTCTGCTAGAAGACATCCTACACATTCAACATGTATTGCAATGTAATCTTTTCCATAAATCCAAAATTTGATAGTTGACAAGACAAAGAATAGAGGTTACCTGATTGGTTTTGTCAGGTGAAATGGAGCAGTAGATAGTTGGATGAGTTAATACAACATATTATGTGAGTTAAAACTGAAGAATTCAACAAAATCACAAGAATAGTTCAACAAACAAAAAAATAAACCTTCGACAGCTTGTCGAACTTGAAACAGAAACTAAATATTGTAAACATATAAGAAAAAATTACCATGTACAGCAGTAGAATTACATTTCTAAATATTTTGAAAATGTTATTTAACAGTTTGATACAAAAATCACTGGTCGCTAATCATCCCCCCCATCCCAACTACTATTTGAATCAAAATCTTCAAACTCAGGTTTACATTCATCTGTATCTCCCTCTTTAAATTCTACTCTCTCTCGTGTACTTAGCTGCGATTGGATGGGTTGAAAGTTCCTCACCAGATAGCTCAATTGGTGATGTACTATGATCTACTAAGATACCTAGAGAATCAAGTTCAATAGTAAGGAAAATCTAAAATGGTGCTGGTATGTGTTCTTCTTGAAATTGAGCATCAGGTATAAGAAGATCGCGTTCACTCTGCCTTGTCAGAAAGGGCATTTGAATTCTACTTTTTTATTTTACTTTACACACTGCATGCCAATCAAACCTCTTCCTAGTGTTTCTAGGGAAATTTGCGTAGTAGACTTGCTGGGCTTGTTGAGCCAATACAAATGAATCATTAGTGTTTAGCTTCCGGGTGTGATTGATTTCAATAAGCCCAAATCACGGATTCAGTTTAACATGGCTAAGGGACACATCAAACCAATGACATTTGAATAAAATGATATGGTTTCCTATTCTAAAGTATTCTAATTCCAGCACCTCTTCCAACAATCCGTAATAATCAACCTTATTTTCGCTCTATGAGCTCCCCAACACACAGACACCACTATTCAATGTGGATTTTATACGCCTATAATCAAGCGTGTAAAATTTATACCCATTTACAAATAACCATTGTATGTTTTGACCAATTGACTAGGTCTTTGTGCTATGCAGCCAATGTTTTCATCAACTATATGCTGAGAATCTCTCACCTGCGAAGTTGTATTTTTTATTTTAGTTGTCATGATACAGTTAGTGGTTGAAGCTGTAACTTTGTTATACTTACATAATCTACACCACCTCGCGGGAATTTGAATCCATATTCTTCCCAAGTCCTCTTCCGTAAGGTTAGGGTATACCTATATATGTCTTCATCAAACTTGCTGGACAAATTCCAAAACCAATCATAATAGGTAAGTTCGGATTGTCATCTCCTTGGATATAATCTTTGACATATAAAGCCTTTGAAGTCTTGGAATGAAAGGTAGGTAGCACAAAACCTTGTATGACACATCTATTCTAGAGCTTACATTTTGTGGCTTGTATCTCTCATGAGTGCACATCGTGCATTTTATCTTGTGCATGTCTTCTTTGTAATATAACATGCAATTTCTCTGACAAACATCGATCTTTTAATAACCCAATCCAAGTTTGGCCACCATCTTTTTTGAATTATACAAGTTACTTGGGAAACTACATTTTCTAGCACCGTGCTTCTCATCAATGATGCGACCATACATGATTTGAGTAAGTTGAAATTGGACTTAATATTCAAAATCTACGACATTGTGGATA